GCTTTTGCCAAGGCACTCCCCACCCTGCCCCTGCCCCCACACCGAGATGTCAGGACCCCGAGGTACAGTGCAGTGAGTGTAGGCTCTAGAGTTGGGGAGATCGAGGTTGACATCCCAGCAACACGTGCTCGGTAGCTGTGTGGACTTGGCTAGTTCACTTTCCTTGGCTGAGCCGTGGTTTCCTCTGCTGTAGAATGGGGCTAATGATCTCTACATGTCTTGCTGAAGGGGAAGACAGCAAACAGAAATGAAAGTCTGTGTGAAGGGTAAAGTGCTGATGAATGTAGGATAGTGGGCCTGTAACTGTCTCAGATGTAGAAAGAGGGGCAAGAGGCTCTGGGCTGATGCTATGAGTTCAGAAAAAGGAGAGGATAGCACTAAGTGAAGAAGAAGAGAAGGAAGGAACTAAGAGCTGAGTTTGGGCAAAAGGCAGAGAGCCGAAAGCTATCATTTAGTAAAAGGTCAGGAAATGCATATTCCATCTTAAAAATGAAAAGCAAAAAACAAGAACACAAGCTGTCTCAAACCCTGGCGACTGAAAAGTCCAGCTGGTGGCTGAGCAGTGAAAGGTCGGAGGGTGGCTTTCATTCACAGGGCCAGGGGATGAATGTGTTCCCTTTGAGTCAGAAAGGCTGCGGGGGACAGGGTGGGGAGAGACGAGGGAGCAGGACACAAGCAGGAGCATCCCACAGACCCGGCCTAGCAAGAGAGAAAGAGTAGGACTTTGGAGGCAGGAGGCACCCGTATTTGAATTCCAGCTCCACAATTTACAAGCTGTGACCCCATGGGCAAGTCATCTAACCTCTGAGACCTGGTTTTCACATCTGTAAAATGGGTGATACTAACACCTACTTCCCTGGGGTAGTTGGGAAAATTAGGTGAGACAGTGCATGTGACATCTCAGTGTCTGGCACGTAGCAGGGACTTCGCTTTCACAGCACAAGGATAAGGAGAGGAAGGAGGGTGGAGGTTGAGTTGGCTCTGTCACTCACTCACTAGGTGACTTTGAGCCTCAGTTTCCTCCTCTGTAAAATGGACAGTAATAAGATCTATACTGCCCAGTCATTGTGAAGAGCAGATGAGATGCTCTATTTAGAGCTAGTTCATTCCTTTTAACTGCTCTATCATATTTCACTATTCCTCTACTGATGGACATCTAGTTTGTTTCCAATACAACAAGCTAACATGATATCCATCTTTACATGATATCCATCTCTCCTCGTGCAACTATTTCTCTAAGGCAGATAATTAGAAGTGGGATTACAGTCCCCCCTTATCCGCTGTTTTGCTTTCCATGGTTTCAGCTACCCACGGTCAACCACAGTATGAAAATATTAAACGGAAAATTCCAGAAATAAACAATTCATAAGATTTAAATTGCACACTGTTCTGAGCAGTGTGATGAAATTTCTCTCCGCCCCAGCCAGGGCCATGAATCATCCTGTTGTCTAGCAGATCCACACTGTATACGCTACCCACCTGTTAATCACTTAGTAGCCGTCTTGATTATCAGATCGACTGTCGTGGTATCACAGTGCTTGTGTTCAAGTCACCCTTGTTTTACTTAATAACAGCCCCAAAGTGCAAGAGTAATGACGCTGGCAATTGGGATACGCCAAAGAGAAGCTGTAAGGTGCTTCTTCTAAGTGAAAAGGTGAAAGTTCTTGACTTAATAAGGAAAGAAAAAAAATCATATGCTGAGGTTGCTAAGATCTACTGTAAATTTTATTACAATAAATTATTATAAGTGTTCTATTTTATTATTAGTTACTGTTGTTAATCTCTTAATGTGCCTAATTTATGAATTAAACTTTATCATAGGTATATATGTATACAAAAAAATATAGTGTGTATAGGGTTCAGTACTCTCTGCGGTTTCAGGGACCCACTGGGGGTCTTGGAACATATCCCCCATGGATAAGGGGGTACTACTGTACTGAGTTATAGGGTGTATACACTTCTAGTTTAAATAGATATTGCCAAATTGCTCTACAAAGTGGTTATACCAATTTATACTCTTACCAGTAGTATATGAGAGTATCCATCCCCCCCAACCTTCTCACCATTAATATTTTTTGACTTTTGCCAATATAATTGTTTAAAAAAAGTATGTCATTCTTAAATTGTATTCTGATTATTAGTAAGGTTGAGCATCTTTTCACGTGTATTTCTTTTTTTGTGGATTACGTTTTTCTCATTTGTTTACAAGTGTGCTTATATATTCTGGTTACCAATCCTGTCTCTCTTTTATATACGGTTGAATCTCATTATTCACAGTAGTTATGGTCTATAAAGTCATTGCAAACACTGAGTTAGCGAATACTGAATCACTGCTCCTTGGGGAAATACATGGGTAGATTCCCATGAGCCTCTGGTCACATTTTTGTCAACTGATCAGTACCTAACTTTGTTTTGTGTGTGTTTCTGTTTAAAGACGCCTTATTTAATATATATTGTTGACTCATTAACACTGAACTCACTGCCAACAGCACTATAACTCCTGCATGAACAAAGTTTAGATAACACAGGTATTCTTTCCACAAGGCACAACACAGCCTTCTTATGCTTAGGACACTAGACACACTTCAGCATTATATTTGGGGACCATTTTGAACAGTGAAATCAACAAAAATCACAAAAATGCAGAAACTTGGCACCAAATATACTGCGAAAAGGACACTTGTTTACAGTATGAGAGCTGAAACAAGAAGGCAGAGCGTGGCCTTGTTCAACCTCAGCTAGGAATGTGTGCCATGGGGCAACTCAAAGTCTTTGCTGCTCTGTGCGTGTCCACATCCACAAATGACCTCAAAAGCACTGTGAGTATTGATTTTGAGGTTACAAATAAATTTTAGCAAGTAGGAAAATTCCCAAATATGGAAACTGTGAATAATGATGATTGACTGTATATATGTATTTACATTTATATTTATAATAGCTTTGCAGTCCATCACTTGTTTTTTAACTTTTTGTATGGCGTCTTTTGTATTATTTGTATTTAATGTCTACTTGTATTTGATGTAGGCAAATTTGCCCCTTATTTTTGTAAATTAAATGTTTTATTCAAATTCTTATACTTTAGTCTCTTTCTGGACTCTCTTTCTATCCTAGGGTTTCTCAAGATTGGCACTTTTGACATTTTGGGTCAGATAATTCTTTGTTGTGGAGTGCTGTCCTCTGTATTGTAGGATGTTTTACAGCATCCCTAGCCTCCAGCAATAGATACCAGTAGCACCTCTTCCCCAATTGTGACACCAAAAATGTCTCCAGACATTGCCAAATGTCCCTGGGGAGCAAATCTGCACCTGGTTGAGGACCACTGCATTGCCCAATTCTATCTGTCACTTTCTGTGTCAATATCAAACTGATGAATTCTTATATCTTTAAAATGTCCTATTACCTAATAGGGCAAGTCTCTCCTCTTCTTTCTTTTCCAAAATTGTTTTGTTCACTCTTGCACCTTTACTTTCTAGAATAATTTTAGAATTAATTTGACAGATTCCATGAAATCTTTTGTTGAGATTTTTATTTATAGATTAATTTGGGAAGAACTGACGTGGCTATCATATTGAGCCTTTCTATCCACATCCATGCCATATCTCACCAGACAGTCAGGTTCTTTTATGCCTTTCATTAACTTTTATGATTTTTTTCTCTGTAAAAGTTGAAGCCTAGGCTCTCTGGTCTCTCCTAGGCTGAGTCTATGCTCAGGTTTTTTTCCTATTCCCCTGCTACTGCCTCCCAGGTCTTCCTGACTCCGAGGGGAGCCAGATGAATCCTTCCACCCCAAAAAGTCATCCCTCCTACTTTTCACTGCTCAGCCACAGCAGGATTATTCATAGTCATCAGGATCTAAGCAGGGTTCTTGTTTTGTTGCACAAGTTTGTTGTTAAGTTGGAAAATTAATCTTTTACAAATGAAAAAGCCCTCTGTCTTTCTCTGAAACTGAGCTACTACCCAGCCTGCCCCTTCTCCCTCCGTGATGTGTGCCACCCTTGGTGATTCTGTTTAGCTTAAATTCCTCCCCCATCCTGCCTGGACTTATCCCTGTGGTGCCCCAGGTGAATGACCCTGTCACTGCATAGGTCTCACTCAATCCTGCCCACATACCTGTTATTTACCCTCTCTGAGAATGCCTTTTCTCCCCTATTTTGCCTAACCAACTCCTTCACTAACTCAATACTAAGTCTACTCTCCTTTTTGAAACTCTCCTTACATTTAGCATCAAACAATTTTGTGCTTCATTATATACCTGCACAGACCCAGTGTGGTGGGCAGAAGAGTGTGACGCAAGGCAGAAAGACATGGGCTGGATTTCAGCCCTACATTTATTAGCTGTGACACTTTGAGTAAGTCATCTAATCTGTCTCAGCCTTGATTTGCTCATCTGTTAAATGGAGATAATACCCATTTTGAGTGTTGTCTACCAAACTATACCGAAAGATTTTTTGCCAGTGGGGACTTGTATCTTTCACAGTACTTTGCAGAGGTTGTAAAAATATGTGCAATAAAGACTTGTGAAAAAGCAACACTTTTTTTTGGCCCCTTAGAGGCTCTAGATGGCCTATGCTAATGAAGGAAGGGGTAGTCCAGAACATCAGATTATTGAAAAATACCTGTATTTAATTTCTGAATAAACTGAGTTTGGGGAGCAGCAAATTTGTCTTATTAATTCCATCTTGTTTGGGGTAATATTAAAATCAATTTCCATTCCCTAAGGCTAGAATTAAAACACTGTCTTAGAAAATCCACAAGATGGATTAATCTTTGTGTGACAAATAGAATGCTGACTATATCAAATTACTTTGATAAACACTGAGCACATGAAGAGTTTGGGATGGAAATATTCAGGTCAGGAACCTCCTGAGAAATGTGCTGCTGCTTCCAAATATTCCAGAAACACTCATGAGGCAAATGTTCAAACATCATTTCTAAACATCTCCTCTCTGGGAAGGTGCTAGCCTGCTGAAGACAAGGAAATCGTGTGGGCTCTTTCTTACCTGTAGTCTGTAAGCTTAAGCCTGGGTCCAACTTTGTGTGGGGCTTTGAGCTGATGAACAGGTAACAGAGCACACAAGCGGTGACAATGAAGGCCAGGAGGACCACCGCTGCTATGGACAGGCCCACAAGAGCGCCGATACTGGGGAGAGACCATAAGGGAGCCGAGTGTCAGGGAGGGACTGGGGAGGCAGCATGTTACATGAGAAGTGTTGTAGGTGTCATAGGAATCAGCCAGCTCCCACTTTTGTCCTGTCTCCACTTGTCTTTTTTTTTTTTTTTAATTTT